AATATTGATGATGATGATGATGATGATGATGCTATTTTGCTATTGCTATTGCAATATTCACAACTGTATTTTTGCCTTTTAAAAGCTATTTCACGGCGGTGATGGTGGTGGTTTCAATAAAATAAAACATTGCAATTTAAAAGTGCATCCGCACAAAAAGGGGAATGAATACTCTGCAACAACTGTAGGATAAATAAAATGAAACCATTCTATGGCTTCATCATCTTTCAATCGCCTTGCTCAAGCTCACAGTTAATTGCAACAACTGCCAAGCACTGAAAAGCTCCAAAAAACATCACCCGAACAATCCAGAACAAGGCCAAATTGCTACCGAAATTGACTTTTTCTCACCGATAGCAGAAACATTGGCAGGGAAAAGAAGAACCAAACAGAGAAAATTATTTCAAATAATTTTCTCACTCTTCTTCCGATGAAAAACCACAGAGAACTAGAAAACAATTAAATAGAACGGCTAAATGGCAAAATTCTTCCTGTTCTTCTTCTTCTTCTTCTTCTTCTTCTTTTGGTGATTCTGGAACATCTCCACTAAATTTTGCTGCATCTGTTAAGGCTCCACAGTTTTCAATTTATCTGCTCATAGTTTCACGCTTCAATGGCTGCAAATGCTGCTGCTGCAACACTGTCTGGAAAAAAATTCTAGTGAATGGCAATCAGAAAGAGAAAAAAACTGCTGTACCCCATTTTCCACTTTAACACCTCTGCACTTTTGTGCTTTACACTTTCTTTCTCTCTTTTTTTTATCATTGCAAAGAAAGTGCCAAAAAATCCGGCGCATTTTCGCCTTCTTTTATTACCATTCGGTTATTATATATGTGTGCCCCGTGTGCTCACCTGCATTATTAAACACCAACTGTTGTTGTCTCATCGTCATCGTCGTTGTCGTCGTTGGATGAATGGCATGGAATAGGTTAACATAACCGTCTCTGTCTCTTCATGTTTTGTGATTATCATTAGGTATGCAGGGGCTGGTAGTGATGGCGGTAATCAAGTGAAAAAAAATTGGCAAAAAAAAATATACTGATACTTGCAACTACCTGCGCCAGTTAAAGTTATGGTCTACTGTTGCATTAATCTAAATTATTATTAATGCACGACCACAAATGCTGATGAAAAGAAAAAAAAGTTTTTAATTTACAAAAAAACTATCATTATTTGGAGAAAAATCTAAAATTTTTGTTGTTTGATTTTGTTAGCAGAAGTATTTTCTTTCTTTTATTTTATTGCTTTTTACTTCTATTTACCTGCTAGCGCGTTTTGATTATTAAAAAATAAACAATAGCAAAAAATGGTGCCCAAACAAAATGCGATTAGCTCAGACTACCGTGAATTAAATTGATGATGCTAAAAGTGGAAGGGAAAAAAGCTGAAGGAAAAGATTTAATAGCAGAAAATGTGATGTGATGTGGAAAGATTAGACAGTGTATACATATTTTGACTATTCTACACCTGAGTTACTTCTACTACCAACAGCAAAAAGGATAAAAAGAACTTGCTTTCTTAGAAAAGGGCATAAGGAAGACACATAAAAAAAGCAAAGAGATTATCAATTCGAGATGTGCTTCAACGTCGACGACAATCCGATTTTCGTCCCATCTTTTTTTCCTTCAACAAATGGACAAAGCGAACAACTCCAACCATTTTTTCTTGTTTACAAAAGAGAAAGTTTATCGCAAAGGTAAAGGCAAAATAAAAAAAAACTGGCTATGCTGGCCAGTGCTTGACAAAAGCAGCAAAAGCAAATCCAAAAAAGTCAGCAGTGTGTGTCCTCAAAAAACAATCGCTAAAAAATTAGAAAGAACCCCTGTTGATACTTCGGGTTTCCGAGCATTGCGTTTTCAATATTTAATAAAAAAAAGTGGTGAAAATATTAAAAATTGCCTGAAAGGAGAGATTAGAGAGAAAAGAAGGCAACAGCAGCAGCAGCAGCTAAACAAGTTCAAGACCAGTACTTGAAAGGTAATGCTGGCAAAGGTAATGCCAACGAAAGAAAAGAAAAGAAACAGCAAAAATCAATCCCCTGCTGCTGCTGTACAAACTCTCTCTCTTTCTCTCTCTCTCTCTCTCTCTCTCTCTCTCTCTCTCTNTCTCTCTCTCTCTCTCCCTCCCTTGAGTGCCCTTCAACTACTAATAACCAAAGAGGAGAAAAACGGGACAAATAAAATAATACTACACAGCTGCTGAACATCTTTCCCCCTAGGTAGGTGGTCAGCAGTGCTGGTATTCACATTCAGGTAGCTGTGGATGTAGCAGTAGCCGTTCGGGTGATTAATGGGCTGCGGCAGCAGAGGCAGCAGACAGCAGTAGTACAGTAGCTCTAAATAACGACAAATACAGTACATGTAAGCAGACAAAGAAGAAAAGAGAGAGAGAGAGGGAGGGAGCAAATTGGGTGAGATAAATCAGAGCACCTACACACACACACACACACACTTATACAAAAGCCTACAAAGCTAAGTGTACAAACCTGTACGGTACAATCCGTGTGTACTACGTTTGATCAGCAGCAGCAGCAGCAGCAGTCTGAACGCCAACAGCAAAAATAGACAAGAAAACCAGAAAGGAAAAAAAGTCTGCCACACGAGAGAGAGAGAGAGAGAGAGAGAGAGAGAGAGAGAGAGAGAGAGAGAGAGAGAGAGNAAGGGAACAAGCTAGCTGGCCAACACTTCAACTTCTACGACTAATTGGCACCTTCGCTTCAAGTGTCGCTGCTTGTTTGCACTGATTACCCTATGACCAGTGCTCCAACTCAGCGCTACTCTTTTCTTTTTCTTTTTTCTTTCTTTCTTTCTTGTTTTTCTTTTCCCTATCTTTCTTTCTTTCCTTCCTTGGGAGACTGGTCAATTGCAGCTGGATTTCCTTCCTCCTGAACCAGACTTCGGCTTCTTCCTCCTAATTGCATTTATTCTCCCTCTTGCGCTTGATTGGCAGGGGGTCAAATGAGCAGTGGTGGTGGTGGTGGTGGTGGTGGTCAGAGCAAGTGAGGAAATTCAATTTTGACAGCATTTTGAAAATTACTAGTGATCACCAGTAGAGGCAAACTACTGAAGTGGCGCGGGGTCAAATTGAATTAGGCTAGAATTTGAGTTAGCACGCGAGATCAGTACACAAAGATAAATGTTCGCCTCTCTTCCCATTGGCAATTAGGCGATGACTAGAGCCTACCTCATTTCATTTCATTTCATTTAGAAGCAGCAGTAACAGCAACCACCACCACCATTAAAAACCACATGACCTCAGCTCAGTGTTTGCTTTGGCCAGCTTCACGGTACTTTACTTTAGATAATGCGGCAATGCGGACACTGAAAACAAATACGAAGTAGAAGTTCTAAGCGTGAAATTCTATCTATATTCTTTTTGTACAAGAGCGGCGGCTCGGCCAGCAAACAATGGAGCACAATTTGTTTCTCTCTTCTCAGCCTTCCCGTCAGGCACTGTGGGAGTTATTGCTTGACTATCGCCTAATTCACTCACTAACTACCACCTTCTCCCTCTACCTTCCCCTTCTAGGCGGAGTTCTCCCAGAACTCCTTGCGAATGACGCGCATCGGCTGGTCGCGCCGGCGCCGTGGCCACTCAAAGTACCGGTTCTCCTCCTCCCAGGGCCCGGCGGGGCGGTGGCCCGGGGGGCGTGGCAGGAGGCGGGCCGCCTGCGCCTGCGCCACCAGGCCCTTCACCTTGGCGTGGGAGCGGTGGCAGAGGCCGGTCACCTCGCGGCGCATCAGCGTCCCCTCCGACTCGATGAACTGCTGCAGGATGAGCACGTCCTGGTGGTGGAGAGATTAAAGATATGGCTATATTAGAAATATCGAACTCCAAAGAATAAGTCTTTATAGGATAAGGTATTTACCGAGTAGCTCAGGCGGCGAAGATTAAGTCGACAGAGTGGACAGACGTTGCAGTGTTGATGATGATGTTTCGCTGATTGATCAGTGGTGGTGGTCGTCGTCGTCGTCGTCGCTTCTTGAGGCACCAGGTACGCCTTGCGCTCGGACTCGACGGCCACCGCCTCCACGGTGATCCGGTCGCCGTCCTCGTGGACTTTCACTAGAAGATAGCAAATTAAAGGTTAGAATTAACGGAAAACGGAAAAGTAGAAAGTAGCTAGGCACTTACGTTCTTTGACGAGCCGTACGGCGCCGGTCGCCACTGGCCGGCGAAGCGACTGGCCGAAAAGCTGCTGCTGCTGAAGAGCCACTGTTGCTGCTGCTGCTCGCCTCGAGCTGGCCGCTAGAGCCCGTAATGATAGCATCACCGGTTCTTCTTTTTCAGTGAGGACTTCGAAGTTGGTGGTAGAGAGAAGATAATCGGGTAAAAAGTGTGCCAGCAAAAATGCCGAAAAAAATCAAAACATGTGAGGCAGGGCGGCCAAAAGCACAGGAGCGGTAGCGGCGCGCGTGTGTTTTGATGGAGTCACAGTAGCCGCCGCCGATGCCGCAGCAGCTGTACAACTTTTTTTCATTTTCTTATTTTGTACGACAGCAACTTCTTCGGCTTCAAGGGCAGCAGCAGCAACAGCTGATAAGGAGATGTTGTCGAAGTACACGATACTCTGGAGGAGGGGGAGGAGGTGGTGTCCCCAACGATGGCAGTCTTCAGGCAGTCTAGTGCCTGTCTGCACAAGCTGCGGTGGCCGCCCGCCAAGCAACGCTCGGCCACTCTCGAGTTTGAGGCCAGCGGCTTCGAAAAGCCCCAAAGAAGAAGTTTCTACCTCCACAACCTCCGCCTTCGAACCGGTGATCGGCCTGGAGGTGCACGCCCAGCTCTCCACCGCCTCGAAGCTCTTCTCCTCGGCCTCCGCTCTGGACCTCTTCACCGCCCGGCCGAACAGCCGCGTCGCCGCCTTCGACCTGTCGCTGCCCGGAACGTTGCCGGTTCTAAATCGTTCGGCGGTCATTGCCGCCATCCGCACCGCCCTCACGCTGGACTGCACGGTGGCCCGGCGGAGCTCCTTCGACCGGAAGCACTACTTCTACGGGGACATGCCCAACGGCTACCAGATCACGCAGCAGCGGGCGCCGATAGCGCGCGATGGCTTGCTGGAGTTTGTCGTCTACGACGAGTACAACGATCACCTCCTCTTCGGCGGCAGCAGCAACCCTACAGCAGCTCAACTAAAAAGCCGCCAGCACCTTCTTCTTCCCTACCTCAAGCGCTGTCAGCTGAAGCAGCTGCAGCTGGAGCAGGACTCGGGCAAGTCGCTGGCCGACGATGAAGAAGAGGATGGTGAGGGTGATGAGGGTGAAACTTCCGTTTTAAAAAGCAGCTGTGCCCGAAAGCAACGCCTGATCGACCTCAACCGAGCTGGCGTCCCCCTGCTGGAGTTCGTCTTCGAGCCGCAGCTCACCTCCTCCCTCGAGGCGGCCTCCCTGGTTCGAGAGCTGATCCTCCGTCTGCAAGCGATCGACGTCTGCAGCTGCCGCCTGGCCGAGGGCGCCCTTCGGGTGGACGCCAACGTCAGCATCCGCCCAAGGGGCGGATCACCCACACTTGGCACTCGAACCGAGATCAAGAACCTCAACTCGCTGCGCTTCCTTCGCGAGGCCATCGACTACGAGATTGGGCGGCAGGCGGAGCTTCTCACCGCTGGAGGTGCGGTGGTCAATGAGACGCTCGGCTTTGACTTTCGCAGCCGGCGGACGTATCCGATGCGCGACAAGGAGATCGTCCAGGACTATCGCTTCATGCCGGAGCCCAATCTGCCGCCGGTGTTGCTGCGAAATTCTGCTGAAGATGAAAATCAAACTGGTGATAAGGACCTGCTGGACATTGCCGCCATCGCCGACGAGCTTACCTCCTTCTCCTCCTCCTCCTCTTCAAACTCCCTACCTCAGCAAGTACGAGCCCAGCTTCAGCGACCCGAGTACGACCTCTCGCTGCGAGAGGTCTTCTTCCTCACCGGCGACGCCGAACTTCGGCGCCTCTTTCTGGGCGTCTTTGAGGCTATCTCCTCCTCTTCTTCTTCCTCAAAAAGCATCACCGGTCGACAGATTTTCGCCTTTCTCCACCAGCTCACCACACCGCCGGCCACCTTTGTCGATCCCGAGCGCCACTGGCAGTACAGCGTGGAGGTGGCCGAGCTGGGGCAGGCCATCAGCACTGGCCACCTCGCCGAGCTGATGGGCCTCCTCTTTGGTGGGCGCATCTCCGAGCCAACTGCCTACCAGATACTGAAGAGCGGCTATCTTCAGCAAAAAGAAACTTCTTCTACGACTCCTTCGGAGATTGCCCACCACCACGGCTGGTGGCTGGTGGTGGACGAGGCGGAGATTGNAACTGCCTACCAGATACTGAAGAGCGGCTATCTTCAGCAAAAAGAAACTTCTTCTACGACTCCTTCGGAGATTGCCCACCACCACGGCTGGTGGCTGGTGGTGGACGAGGCGGAGATTGAGGCGGCCTGTCGGCAGGTGGCCGCCTCGTTGCCGAAGATTGCCGGCAAGTTTGCCCGCAGCGGCGTCCGCCGGCCCAGGTCGATGCTGGTGCAGCGGGCGACGGAGGCGCTTCAAGGGCGGGTCAATGAGGCGCAGCTGTGGCCGGTCTTTGAGCGCATTCTCAGGGCAGGAGGAGGAGGAGGAGGAGGTGAAGGAGGTGGTGGTGACAAGAAGAAGAAGAAGAAGTGATATGGAAGTTTTTGGAGGTAAGCAGGTGTTGTTTGTTTTATAAAAGGTTTTGACTTAATTTTAAACTTTCTCTTTTTTTCATCTCTAGACACTTTCAGTACATCATGACAGCACAAATTGTGTGGTCAGTGACCTTCCTTCCTTCCTTTAGTGATTCACTGTCTGTGCCTAGC